TCATTTCATAATGCATGCAGACGACACCAGTCTGTTCCTCTCTGACACGGATGAGGATAACTTAATAATCAAAGGAAATGTCATGCTCTCCAAATTTGCAATGTGGTCAAATTCAAATGGGCTTAATATTAATGAAACAAAAAATAAAGCAATATTATTTAGATCAATCAATAAACATGTAGCTCTAAACAAAACTCTCCAGTTTAATTCTAAGCCAATTGAACTAGTGAAAAATCATAAAACATTGGGTGTTATATTTTCAGAAAACTTGTCTTGGGATGAACATATAAAACATATTACCAGTAAATTATGCAAAATCGTCGGCGTTATTGCTCGATGTCCGTTTCATTCTCCCCGAAAATATAAAATTACAAATATATCATGCATTATTTAAATCCCAAATAACGTATTGTCATCTCATTTGGGGTACGACGACAAAATCAAATTTAAATAAAATACTATTCCTTCAAAAGAGAGAGCTACGCTTTATTGGAAATGTTCATTATTTATTTCATACCGAATCATTATTTCAAAAATACATCATTATCAATATATATCGATTATATGAATACCTTCTGACTAGGTCATTTTGTTTTTCATCACCAGAAGTGATTGGTTTTTTGAGGCATGCATCAAATTTAACCAGAAATATCACCACCATCCGCACCCGCTGCGCGGAGGAAAGGAGGGTGTCCCATTATCGTACAAATTACGGCTTGCAGTCCCTTCATTATAAGTTATAACCTACCCACATTACTGAATAAATATTCTTTAGATAATCTTGACATTTATAGTTTAGCTTTAGACCGTAAATCAATGTACCTATCTTTTGCAGAATATGTATTAAGTTATGTTAACCTTTAAATTAAAGCGTTTTTTTTTTTTTTTTTTTTTGCATATTTATTACCCTGATTGTTTTTCTTGCTTCTCTGTCACCATCTGCCAAGCTCTCGGGGCCCGGACCCCGTCAAGCCAACAAAGGTTGGCTTTTTTACCCGTGGCTCCGGCATCTGTACTTGCAGATGCAAATAAATGATTTGATTTGATTCCTCCCGATTACTCCCGTTTTTTCCAGTTTCACTGAAATGAAATCTCAATTAACCCTCCCTGACCTTTCTCTGCGTCGCAAAATTTCCAGGCTTGGCCCCCTGCATAAAGTGTATCACTCTCCCTCCTTGAATCCGTCTCTCCTTAGCCCACCCAATTATGTTTCTTCAAGACTCGACCCCGCATGTAAGATTGCCCGACTCAAGACCAAATCTACAGCCCACCAGAATTCACTTCTACCCGAAACTATTATGGACTGGAATGGCCTTCCCGATAAAATCGTCACCATCACAGATAGCACCAAGTTTCGCCTCGCACTAATCCACTACTGCCCTCTGTAATGGCCCTCGGGGCCCTGAGGGTATTTGTAAATAAATAAATATGTCGGACCAGCGGTTCTACAAACCACAACACTAAAATTATAGTATATCATACGACTCAATTTTAATTGCTTTGCTGAATTTACACGCGTGTGAAACGACACCACACGACTCTCAATAAGAAGAAACAGAAAAACAAACATTTCATAAGGAGGGCCCAACTGAGCCGGAAACGGGCTTGCGTCGTCCAGATGTGCGCCCGTAGCAGACGACGCACGGCGGTATCCCCGCTTTCCCATGTTTCCAATTTCGGCCGCACGGTGGCGACACGGTTCGATCTCGTGCGCATGCGTCCACAGCTCTGTGACTCAGCATCGTTTGCCCGGGTGATAAGGTGCCCAAGTTATCCCAAGTTATCAGCGATGCGCCACGAGAACCCCTTCCGGCCGTTCCGTTTTTTTTTTTTTTTTTTTTTTTTTGAGTGACCCACAAACAGCTTGACGCCTCCTTAGTTGTGCACTTATCAATGTCAGATAGTAATCAAATTGTTGCGACACGATAAAAGGAGGAAACAAAAAGGAAAGTTAGGACAAAACTGGTACCAACACCATTACTAAATTTGCTCTCTATGAAAAATATCTAGGCTAACATTCCCACAAGTCTGTCTTAGATGATTATACTTGAAGGCGTGTAATGGGCGATGCGTGAAATAAATCAGAAGGATAAAACAAAGAATAAAGTCTAGTAGACCTGCGAGGAACGCGAAAGTAGACGTGATTAAGTAGCGAATCAATTATACCGTTTACATTTACTATCTTATACAGAAATATCAATCCACGGATCGTTCTCCTGTTGTGCAACGTATCTAATTTCACGAGGTCACCAATACTTTCGTAACTGTCGAGCTCGCTTATGCCATCAGTGCCAGAAAGCATAAATGCTACACGGACAACAAAGTTCGAGATTTAACGAGGGCCTTCGGCTGTGCAATTTAACGTCTTGGAGCAGACAAGTTGGTTGACAAGAATATTCGAAATATTTTTACAGATATCGCGCTTCTTTGTTCTTTTGGTGTTCACCTGGAGAATTGGCTGTTAAACGTTTCACCGACATTTCAAGTAGTTAAGGTGGTCTTTGTTCAATCCTTTCGGGAGTTCTCTGGGATATTAAAGACGTCGTGACTGAACCCCTTTTGTTATGTTTAATGAGAGGAAATAATCCTATCTTGTTTGCGATCTTTTTCTTAACAAAGGAATACCGAGCGCAAGCAGATGAGGGAGGGAGAGAGATAGTGATAGGGAAACAACTTCACGCAGCCGCCGCCAAGCCAAGCGCCGGCTGTCTTCGCTCTTCACCGCACTGCCCGCGTGTTGTGAAGGGAAAACGGCCCTCGCGCAAAATACCGAACAAAAGTCGAAAACAAAAAGTAGCGACCGCTGCAGCGATGCGCGCGCGCTGTTCACGAATCCTACACGTCAAGCGGCAGAAAACTACCGCTCGCGTTCGCCTGTTCCTGTACCCGGTAATCGACCCGATGCCAAATATACCCCCCTCCTAACTGCCCCCTTTTCCAGCGAAAGGAGCAACAGCACAGAACCCCGGATGTCGTCAGAGGTCGTTGATTCTTCAACGCCAAAAACGCCAGCGGAGCGCGCGCTGGGGAAAACAAAGGACGGGCGAGGAAAGAAGCGCGGAAATATCTGCTCATTCTTCCCTAGCGTTTGTAAACAAAACATGCTTACGTAATCGCTATGGCTAAATTACGCCAATATAATTTTTTTTTTCTTTTTTTCGTACGGGTATTTAGACGTGGAGTCGCTATAGGTGACATCTGTAAACAAGAAACCTCCTGCAAACCTCGTGAGGTTGTGGCACGTCAAACTTGCGCAGAAAACGCGGGCGCGAATAAGCTTTCTTTTTTGGCATAAAGCCCAGTTTGACTCACGATGACAGAACACAGACACACGTAGATGCAGACCACGCGCAACCCTTACAAAAACTCAACTACGACGAACGAAAGACGGGCGGAGTCAGGTGTTGACACGGGTCACAGGCGTTACTGTCTCCCTTATCTACTACAATTTGCTAGGATTGTTGTCGGGTTTTTTTTTTTTTTTTTTTTTTTTTGTAAAGCAGATTGTTAGGGGTATAAAGAATACTTGGCGCTCAGATAAGACCACGAACTGCTGGACATCATATATATATATATTCCTTATTCTCTATCTCTCTCTCTCTCTTTCGCTGCTGTTGAGGCGCAGTTGAACTCTTTGCAGCCATTTAAAAGCAAGAAAGAAGAAAAAAAAAAAAAAACTAGTACACTTTTTGTGTTTCGTGCCCTTTTTGTTTGTTTTGCGAGCCCTGGATAGCGACACGGAAATCGCGGCTTCAGAGAAGATAACAACGGTACCGAAATAAACGCAGGCGCGGAGAAAAGGGAACTCGGGTTTATCGTTCTCGAGGCTAGCTTGTTGCTCGGAGCTGTATTTCTGCTGCTTTGCAGGAGATAAAAACACAACAACGGCATGGAAAGTACCAGCACCGCGACAAAGGTTCTAAAACCACGAATAAAAACTGGAACGAAACAACCACCGCGGGCGTCGTCTGCATTCGATCGCCTGCTGACAACAGACGCGCGTGCTTCCCAGAAAACGCCGTCACGTGTTTGCAACGAAAACAGCTGATCAATATAGGTATGCTCGTCAGAATTCCAAAGGCGCAGAAAGTTACACGGTGGACATCTGACGCAATCGCTCGTCATCGCCGACCGAAGCCCGATGTTTACTAGTTCGATCAGCGCGTAACCGAGCCGAAATGCACACATATCCGACGAGCGATTCGCGGAGAAAACGGATCTGGCACGCTTCTCTCCCGCGCGAACCTGCCAAGTTATGCAGACGAAGATGCGTTCCTGTTGGCCTCGGAGGATTTCCAGACTGTCGACCCAAACAAACTCCCGAGATTCGCAGCACGCGACGTTGATTGGCGCTTACAAACACAGCGACCAACGAAGCGCACGAGCGGGTGAATTCAGTGTTTTAAATTTGGTATTCCCAAAACGCCATTGGTAAAACAGCAGTGCGTCGACTGGCGGGTCGCTCAAGAATAACGGTACTTCAAAAAATAAATTTCAGAAAAATCCAAACATTTAAGGCGCGTTTCACCGGATCTCGAGTCGCATCACCAAAGTCAGCTGACAATTAGACAACAAAGGGATAGAGAACGGTGGCTCTCATTCATCGCAGGTGACGGAACCACAATAGTAGAAATTCTGCAAACTACGCGTCACAATAAATGCGCGAAGCATTCGGGTGCGAGGGACGCGGCAGAATAATGGGAAGGAGCCAGGAAAAAAAATGACGCAGGGAAACTCACCAAGATAGTTTTCACTCGCGCACTCCAGAGTCACTTGTCAAAAGCGAGTATGATGTAGGATCGCTGAATTTGCCGTAGACGTCAAGAACGTCACGTTGTCAGCGCCATCTCTACAGCGTTTCATGGGTTTCTTTAGAAGAAAAATAATCAAAGCACGACCGTTAAGAAAATAAACAAAATATATCATAAAAACATTGGGTATTTTACATAAATGTATAAATGATTACACTAGCAACGTTTAAGACTAACGTAAATGAACTTAAAACTGGCCTAGTAACGCGCCTTTTACGCGGCGTGGTGCGAGGCTTGCGAACCGGCACAGGTTCTGTTCGTTCTGTTTGCAAACATGGCTGTCAACTTGGTGAGCCACAAAGATGCGCTGCTCGGCGCTTGGAAAGACGTCGTGGACGATAAAACGAGCACGAATTGGTAACCCAAGTTGTTCGCTTATAGCGGTTGCATGGTCGCGGTCATTGATTGTGGGTAAAATTGTTATACGCCCGTGTCTCTAAGCGCAGTGGGGGCGATTGAGATAAGAGAGGATGCCATCTGGCACCAGCGGTGCTACCCAGCTCTTGTTTTCTCGTTTGAAGGGTTTAGAGTCAACCAGCTCATAAGCATGCGGTGTAGTGAACCAACCGGTTCAACTTGGTGCGTCCTTAAGTTCAGCTATTGTGCCACTCGGCCGTGTGGTCGAGTGACCTTTCCTGAGCGCGGACGTTTGTAGCCGGTGATGATTGGTGTCGGCGCGATAGCCGGGCAACTTCTTGTCTTCTTCTCAGAATCCCTTTCATAACTATTTTATGTACGCAGGGCACTGTTCGGGTACGATAAACAGTCGTACGACCTCTGCGTGGTATCCACAGGAGGTGAGGTCATTCGCCGAACTGGTGCGGTTGGCATCGACTGTCAGCCGTGCCTCGAAGCAGAGCACGTGTGTTGAACGGAAGGAATATTGTTCTGTTTGCTTCTTGTTCGTAGATGGTGGCCTAGAGGAGCTAGTCGAGGAGCTTAACTGCGGGAAAATAATGTACGCGTTCTGCAAAGTTGAAGACCCCAACACGAGCCTTTCCAAGTTCATTCTCATCAACTGGGTGAGTGTCGGGCCGGGTGCGGTGGCACTGCTGGTTCTGATCGCTTGGGTTTCTCATAACTACTAAACGTGAGGAAAATTTCGCGTATTATCAGAATTCCTGAAGGCGTTAGTGCAAGAACTACGAAAAAAAAAAAAAAAAAAAAGCTGTGTAATGAGTTTTGCACATTTAAAAGAAAAAAAAAACATCACCCGTTAAAAAACGTTCAGCCTTTCCACTCGTGAAGAAGGAAGACCAGCGGAGCTGGTACTCGATACACTGTGTGCTTCTTCGTCGTCGTCTGTTTTTTGCGCTATTTCCTACGATGAATTCCCACCGACGCGCCCAACTATCCATTCTTCTATTATAGCTGGAAAGGTTGCCGCCATCTACAAGCGACGGCGGAAACCATACTGGTTCTGTGCTTGTCGCTTATAGATGGCGGTAGCTGTCCAGGTAGGTTTGTGTCGACATAGATGGACACGATCCTGGGGAACCTAGCCCTTAACAGCTCTGCTGTAAAAGATCATTCAAATTCGTACCTCGAAAACAAAATTATCGAGAGCACAGCTGCGCGCTGCACGAGCTTACCGTTTTCGTGAGCAAGACATTTTAAAAAGTTCACGCACTTGGACGGTGTTTGCTTGTCGGGCAGATTGACAGACAATGATTTTTGTCATGTTTAGGTATTTAACTTATGACTGGGAACTTAGTGCCTCATACCCTAATAGTCAATCTTCGTACTACCATTCTTAAGTAAGCAACCGTGTGCATTATAAAAGTTGTCTGGTATATGTTTCTTAACTTGCAATGGCTGCGCGGGAGGGCGCTGGGAGCGCCGGTGTTTCGGCACCATGAGTTGCTGTACCCTCCTTCCGTTGTGGCCGTCACAGGCAGGGGCGGATCCAGGGGGGGGGGGGGGGGGGGGGATGACGTGACGGGGGCGGCCGGCCGCCCGCCCCCCCCCCCCCCCCCCCCCCCACCCAAAACAAAGTCAACCCCCTCTCCCCTTCTTGGAGAGCAATTTGACATGGGTCAATGCCTTGCATGGGTGGACCTCCCAGTACACAAGAATGAGAGAATAGTATCCTTACAAATTTTCCTGCCCGCCCCCCCCCAAAAATGGAGCTCTGGATCCGCCCCTGGTTGCAGGACGTGCCAAGTGTTGGCAGATCAGTAAAGGAGTTTGACATGGTCAGAGTAACACCTCTGGCGCTTCACGAAACTGAGCATACCTGATGTCTTCAGTACAGGTTTTTGCTGCCAATGCTTAGTTTTTTATTGTTTAAGCATGTATCCTGTCCTTTCTTTCAGCAAGGTGAGGGAGCACCTTTAGTCAAGAAAGGCTGCTGTGCTAACCATTTCATGGACATTGACCGTTTCTTCAAGGTACATAGAATTGATGCCTGTCCCAACTTGGTGGCAGATATCGTAGGAAAAGGCCTTGTCCCTCTTGTGGGTATTTTTTTACTGGCAAGTAGCACTAGACGTGTAGTGGTACTTGGCTGTAACCCTACTTCAGTTGTAGCTGGTGCTGCTGACTTTTGAACGCACGTCAATGCCCCATGGTTAAAAATGCTGGCGTTGCCTTAAATAATATTAGGAACGTGGTCTTTTGGGGGCCCGATGGGTTTAAGGGGCCTTGCACAGAAGGGGCGAAACCTCCCACTTGGACACCCCCGCTGTTTCTGAACTAGTAGCCTATAGGTAGGGCTCCGTGTTTTCGGATAAATCCGAAAAACTCAGAAAAACACCCGCCGGTAAAATTTTTGGCAATTGAGATTTATCCAATAAACTCCGAATTTTATGTGCCCATGCCACCCCCCCCCCCTCCCCCCCAATAAAAAACAAAATATATATATATTTTTTTTTCTGTTTCTTTTTTTTTTTTTTCTTACATTTTCGGCAGCGCAGGTTCAATGGTCCTGGGAAAATGACACCATAATTATCTTTCAAGCCTCGGACCGTTGTCAAAAGGGGGTCTTACGGCTTGTCTCGTCAAGGCAGGGTTCAGGGAAACAGGTCATCGTACCATTCGTGTCACGACAAAAGCCACTCTTTCGGTTTCCAGTTTGGGCCATGGGATTTGGGATTTCAAGAAAGGAGATGGTATGTTTCTGGGGAAACAGTGAAAGCTATGGACCATAGAGATTGTATAAAATAGGGAAGAGGGGCAGTTGAACCTTCTCTATTACATCCACCTCGTGCGGCAGCGGGATAGATTGATGGGATGACTACGAGCTTCCTTGCGGCTATCTGGCAGTTTATTGATTTTAAGGTATCGACGTTTATCAAAGCAACATTTGTGTGCGACTTTTGTCGTGGGACAAATTAGTACTGTCAATGACACCAATGTCAAAGTCAACTGAAGAAATCTTAATTGATGCAAGTGCGTTTTATTTTTTATCTGACATACGTTTGCATGCGGTTATTATTTATTATTTTTAATAAAAAACACTGCGAAATTAATCTCCGAATTTCGGAGAATTGGGGATATGTGAAAAATAAACTCCGATAAACACCGACTTTTCGCTAAAAAATAAACTCCGAAAAACACCCTCCGAATTTCACGAAAAATAAACTTCGAAAACACGGAGCCCTACCTATAGGGTTCAAGAGTTCTCGAGGTAGAAGATTTCTCCTGGATGTTTGTTGATTGTCATTTTACCTGTTCCAAAACCAGTGTTCCTTGCTTGCAGGGCTCCCACATTACCATTACTGCAAGGACGGAAGACGACGTTGAGCCTGCACTGATTTTGGACAAGGTGTCCAAGTGCACTGCGTCGACATTCAATTTCAAGCAACGCTCTGATCCTACGGAGAGCACAAAACCCATAGTAGACCTCCTCTCACTTCCACATGAAACATTGTAGCAGGGCTGGGCAGTGTCGAAGATATGTGCACCTTTGCTAGCATCTTTAGATAAAGTTGTGCATCTGCTATCGCTTGCCAAGAAAAAATCTGTACCACAGTATTGATATCAAAGGTACATTTTTGAAGCATCAGTTTGAGGATACACAATTTTCTTAGAAATGTTCCTCTAATTTCGGAGTTGCATTTTCTTCTAGTCTTGTTCAGCGGACACCTTGCTTATTCAGTTGCAGCGTAAACGGATTGCCAAAATAAAGACGAATACATGAGTATCTTAGCTGTGGCAAAAGCAAGAAGATAAAAAGTAACTCGAGCAGTCTCAGGTTCAAGGTATTGCTGTTTCTGCGTGTCAATTTGCAGTATTCTAACCTAGGACGAATGAGCATGGTGGAGGCTAGTAATTTGATGTTATATTTGTTAACCCTGGTTTTCCAAAAAATTTGGGATCTGATTTCTGTGGTGTATCTAAGACTGAGTATCGGATATTTGCATTTGAAACAAGTTTATATATGTCTTGTACCGCCATCCAGAATACAATTTTCAAGGCTATCAGTATCGAAGGTGCACTTTTAAAGTATCCAGCCCAGCCCTGTATTTTAATTTGTTTCCTCTTGCGCTCTTGATGCCATGGTCTTTTCCAGGGAAGTGTTTACAAACGAATCCAACCTGCCAGGGAAATATCTTCTACAGAGAGGGAAAGATTCTGGATGAAGGAGCAGGTGCGTTGTGTGGGTTTCCATTCTGAAACCCCTGCCTGCAGAAGTGTGACGGTTGTTAGGGAAATTTGAGTGCCGATTGTTTTTGACTGCCCAGGAAGAAGAGAAGAGGCGCGTTGAGGAAGAGAAGGTCAAAGCCGAGGCAGCCAGGAACAGGCTTGCCGAAGAAGTGAAGGAGCGTGAGGTAAGTTGGCTTTGAACAATGCATTAGGCAAGAATCTGGAGGAATGTGTCCTCTTTCCACAGCTCAAGGACGCCAGGGCTCGCGAGGAATGGTTCAAGGAGCGCTCTCTGTCCATAGACAAGATGCGAGAAGCCGAGAAGAATGCCCAGAACTCGACACACAATAAAGTGAACAAGAAGCTTTGGGTAAGTCCAAGATGTCACCTTTCAAAGATGAGCTTTGTATCAAAGGGTATAAGCGTTTATTTATTTAAAGCAGATAACCAACCGCTTCAATGGTACTATTCTATCTACGCAAAGTTGTCTTCAGTTTAGTCCTCTTGGTTCGGGTGTGACTATTTTGTGAGATTCCTTGTGCTCTGCGCTTGGGATGAAAGTTCATGGCATTGTTATGGGTAGGGATGCCGCGAACCTCCCAAGTTTATGAGATCGATAGGTTTAAAAATTTTCGAACCTTGCCAAGATTTGGATTTCAAAAGTTTGAAAACTTTAGCACCCCGCTCAAGTTCGAAGTCGAATAATTAGAAAATGTCAAGATTTCTGAAAGTTTGAGTTAGAAGATTTAAAAGTTCTTGACAAATCAAGTTAGAAAAATCGAACATTTCAAATTTTAAGATTCAAATTTGAAAAATTCAAGGATTTCTAATTTTTCCGAGGTACAAGCTCTAAAAGTTTGAAAGTTTCGATTTTAGGTATAAAGTCTTTGAATTTCATGGACGGAGATCAAATTCCGTAGTTTCAAATGAAGTTGTCATGGATTCATCTAAAAAAATTGCAATGTGTGCTACAAATTTCACTGAAAACGTTGCCCATTTCTCTTATGCCGTGAATTATGCTCCTTCTCAGTGCTGTGGTAATTATGGCATACCTCTATTACTCGTTATTTGTTGTAACTTATGAAACACGAGCTGAACTGGTTGAACGGTTCAGTAAAAGCCCCGAGGCGGTCAGGTAAACATACTTCCTTCTTCTTTGCAAACTAGTAGCAATCCGATCAAACATCTGCTAAATGCAATGATGGCATTAGACAACTTACCAAAAAACGCATGCACAGAAAGGCATCCAATCCAGGCTTCCCTTTTAGTTGCTCTGGGCGTATATTTTCGGTGGAATGACCCGTGGGATGGAGAAGACACATGCACAGCATCCGACACAACTCAAGGTCGAGGAGAACACAAGCACACTACAATAGGGGACCTCCCGGTCCCCGAAAATACAGCTGATCAGGTCACAAGTGGTTGTCATTGGGCTAGCCATATTTCCGCTGTCTAGAACTTCTTCGATAAATGGAGATATTGGCTGTTTTAAAATGCAGTCGGTTACTAAGGATAATGAAGTAAGCACCGATGCGGCATTCGCTGTAGCCCATCAGTGTCGCGCCTTTCCCCGACCAGTTGCTTAGTCGAGGAAGTTTGAGCTATGAGGGACGCCTCAGCAAAGCACTTAAGTGGAATTTCTAGCCTGCAAGAATCTGTTGGCCGACAGGTTACCTCAAGGTAACCCAAGGAGCTGTACGTGGAAAAGGCTCTGTGCAGAAGCCGAAAGAAAGATGTATGAGGCCGAGACGACCCCGAAGTGATCATTTAAAGGGATACTTCAATGAAATTTGAAATGTACCCGTCGTGTTCAAAAATAGGTTGAATATGATCCACAATATCCGTAAATGACAATCGCACGTTTTTATTTTGAGCCTGGTGGCTGTAGTTTTCGTTATAAACGGCCCACTCTGGCAAGCGCTCGGAGAAGGCCCAGCGGAGACCGCGTGACATCCAAGGCAATCGTGATGTAGGTCGTCTCAGGACGAGCAAAGCTACGGCGAGGCTGACGTTGAGAGGATGGCCTAGTCGTTCCAACCACCGAAGCGGCTGCTTTTGTACGAATTTTGAGTGACGGGTTAATCTTCTCTAATCTTGTAGGGGGACAATAGCGACTTCTGCGACACACAAAAGGCATTCTCAGGAAGAGGGAAGTTCCTCCTGCCCCTCTTCTCTCGTCGTGGCCGGAGGCGAGACAACCTCCGTCACTAGCTGTCAAAATTCCTAGACGGGCATTACAAGTGAGGCGTTAGCGACATCCACCAGGTGCTCTTTGCTAATCGTTTAATTCGTTTTAAAATTCCTTTTCGTGACTTTTTTAACAAGATATTGGTATGTTTGATGTAATGCTTTTTTGAACACATATAGACCAAAAAATGAGCGCCGAAATGTCGTTGTAGTGTCCCTTTAACACTTTAAAAGTGAGTCGTTTGGGGTATGATCAGCTAAGTAAAACTCCAGTGCAATTTTCACCCCACTTCACACATTGATATCTTGTGTTATTTATATCTGTTGGCTCGAACCTATAAGGGTTAGCTTGTTCAAACATCGGCAAACTCTTGTTAAGAATTTTGAAGTTCGTCAAACTTTTGAACTTTGCAGGTTCGAAAATAGTTTAATTTCTTTGCATGATAAATTCTAAAGTTCGAAAAATGTTAAATTTCATACCGCAAAAAATTCGAAAGTTCAAAAACAATGAATTTTTTTTTGCGCCAAAATTTGGAAGTTTGGGAATCGTCAAATATTTTATGTAATAAGTTCGGCATTTCGAAACATTTTCGAACCTTTCTAGCTCCTTGGTTCAATCTTCGAACCTCAGGTTTACAAAAAGTTTGCAGCATCTCTAGTTACGGACAACAATCTTTTGCGCAGGAACAGCAACTGCAAGAAGACATGCAGGACGAAGAGGACCGCAAGCGGCGGTCCCAGCACCTTAGGACACAGCGCAATGAGGTGCGCATCAGTAGAATTAGAATACTATATTTGGTAGCACGGGCGACTCTGCAGCACAATGGGTTTACCTAAGGGACAGTTTCGTATGACATACTTCCGGCTTGAAATCTCGCTGGAATCCATGCTGGAAACTTTCGCCCTATGTGTTTGAAAGCATGGAGGCAATGTTTTCCGACTCTCTTAAAGGGCAACTCCAGTCAAGTCCGAAAATTGTGGAATAATGGGTGATTATCATGTCAAAACTACTCATAGAATGGTTCTATGTCATTCGTTTACCGAAAAGCTCAATAGTTTTCTTGCAAACCTCATTTAAACGAAAATAACAAAAGCGAAACCGAAACCTTGCCCGTGGCAGGCGACATTGGTCCTGCTCGTCAGCTACTGGACATCACATGATAGGGAGACGTCGGCTATGTCATCAACCAAAGTGGCGGATGGCGCCCCACACACACTTTTTAATGCGAAACCATTAACTGTCCCATGGAGCGAGCCAACGTCATCAGCTTTGAAGCCGCGCCAAACGGCACCTAAACTCCTTCCTCCAAGTGAAGCCAGCTCCGAGCTATGAAACCACGTGAAAAGCCTAGCCAAACGGCACCTAGTTTCCTCCCAAAGGAGCGGAGTGAAGCTGATGGATTTTGGCTTTGGTCCCATTGGCTGGCACGCTTCATAGTTTCAAGAAATGAGGCTCCCATTGGCCGCTGCACGTCACTTTCAAAGACCGCCACCCCATGGCGCTACATGTCCGCGAGGCAGCGACTACCACTCCACGCCCAAGGTCAGCGCGCCGGGGAGAGCTAGCGTGTGCACTCGACCGTCGACGCAAGTATGCCGCAGACGGAAATGGAATGGAAGAGCGGCATGCATGCTTTCGCATTCACAACTCGTAAGAAGTGCTTAGGTGTACCTCAAGCCTTTTTCTTTCTTGCCCTTGCGCTCCGCACCTCGAAAAGTAAGAAACGAACAAAACAATTCTTCCAGTTGACGTTCTGCACAGTGTTGACTGTGTCTGCTCAGCGGCGTTGACTGCGCTGCTCCGCGCGTTGCGTGTCGCCCGCTAGATTGGGCAGATCTTGGTGACCGTGGAGCTGCTCTGACTTTGTTGGCCGGTTTAATAAACTTGTAGGCAGAATTGCATCCTAATATTTTACGTGTAGGCTTTTCAGATGATACTTTAACAGATAACTGGTGCTGTAGGTTCACCGTGAGTTTAGGTATTCGGAGCACACGGATCAGGCTGCTTTTTGAACATTATTTTATATTCCTAATGGTCATTGATGGGCTGGCTCACGATTGCAGTCGTCTTGCGGGCTGAGCAGGCGATGAGCAGTCTCGTCGTTGGCTGCTGACTCGCAGGTATCCCCAGCAGGTCTTCTTTCGTGTTTCTTGACTGCCTTTATCCCTGACTGCCGGTTATCCCCTTCGGAGGTCTCCCCATATTCGACACGTCCGCATCTCTTATTCTTCGGTGTCCAACTGTCCCTCTCTTCTCTTCCATCGCAAGAAAGAGAAGGCCTCGTTGTTTAGCTCTACCCCTTCCGCTGCATTCTCTCTGTAGTCTGGACTCCAAGCTGCGGTCCTTCGGCAGGAACCAGGAACTTGATCTTCCATAGAAGGCGAGGGCGGCGAAACTTAGTCTCAAGGGCTCGGTGGTGCTGCCTTGTTGATCCGTGCAGGCATTTGTGGCCGACCGTAGAGATGGAATTCCAGCCGAATCTACTCGGCCTGGCTGAATTATCACAATACGACGTAGGACTGCATTGTTTTCTCAACATCGAAATTTGACCGGGGTTGCCCTTTTTTATTTATCAATGCTGTAGGTCATTGAAGACCCATATAGAGGTGGGCATTTGTACAAACAAGAAGCAATACAGTTGTACAAGGCATTCAACAATATAAAGAAGGCATTAAAAACAAAGAAAAAAAAATGTACAGGGAGATTGTTATGCTAATGCATAGAAGTGAGAGTCTCGGCAAAAGACTGCGCTGATGTGCTATTTACGATTGTTTCTGGTAACGTATTTCATTCATCAAAACGTGGGGGAAGAAAAAATATTTAAATGTGTTATTTTTGGCTGAATACGACCCGATTGTCTTGTTATGCTTGGTTCACTTTGGGTGCACGAAGGGGGCCTTGAGGTATTTTTCTCGTGCTATATTTATTTGTTGTTGGTACAGTGCATAGAAAAAACTTGAGGCTAGCAATTTTTCTTCTATCTTCTAGGGAGTCCAACTTTGCGTTTGCGAGCATAGCGGCAATGCTAGCCCACCATGAGTAATTAGAATAGATGACGCTCTCTCACTTAAAATAGATGAAGCACTCTCACAAGAATAAATAAAACTCCCTCCAAAAAAAAATTTTTTTTTATTTTTTGCCAGGCCATTTAGTAGGGTGTCAGGAGGCTAATCAATCAATATTTTGCTGCAGAGTCCCATATAATTTTAATAAAGCCAAAGAACTCCATTGCTCGAAACCAAAACAGGAGCACGGAAGCTCGTGGCCGGAAGTAACGTGACTACATGTGTGAAGCAGACGACGAACTTGCATGCACTGTTTGTCATGCGAGTGTTTCGCACTTATATATCCCAAGAGCGCTCGTTGGTAGCCAAAAATGTGCTGGCAGATGCCACCGGGGCAGCTCTGAAGAAAGAAGGAATAGAATAAACTTGGGCTTAGGCGACCCAAATATGTCCCCAATGGTACTTCTTGAGTTTTGTCATCACTGGAGCCATGTCCTTGCTTCTGCATTTTATCAACACCAGAAACGACACTAATGAGGAATCGATCGCATGCAGGCAAACAGGAAAAATGGCGGAAAACGTTCCCAGTATGGCCGCAGCCAGCTTACCAAAAGTGAAAAGGTGTTTCGTGAAACCACCCGATAGTTGTATTCTAGCCCCTGTAACGTGATCATAAGACGACCATAAGAGCATATATCCTGCAAAAATGGGTGTTTTCCAGTGTTGCAAACAAAAATAGCTTGAAGGATAGACAAGGACAAGACAACACACAGGACTAGTGCTACCGGTATCTCAAACCTTGGTTCCAGATACTTGTCTGTCCTTCATGCTATTTGTCTTTCATGATGCTTATGCAACTAGCCCACCTTAATATTTTATTCCAGTATTGCCTTATCGCGCGCACTTCAACCAAACCAGAAGTGTCGTAGTTAACTTATCCAAAAATAGTAACACTATTGTCACAAAATGTGTATAGCCACGGCACATGTGGATCATTTGGAGTCTTTTGCTATTGCCGAATAGAGCAGACCATCTATAATTGCGCCGCTGTTGTCGGCAAAGTTTCATCAGAAACCACTTTGTCTCTGCAAGTTTACATTAAATTTAGCTGAAACTTGATCTGTGCTTGTCTCTCGCTCGTCACAGGAGGCACAGGCTCTGATTGCGCAGCGCACGTTCAACGCCAAGGCCATGTTTGAGCCGAGCACGTACACAGGCACGTACGCCTCGCCGGCGGTCTCTGTCCAGAATCGCACCACTGGACACTCGGAACGGCAACCCCAAGCCGCTGGCACCTCTCAGGCAAGTACACAACCGACCCCACTCTGGGTGCAAACATTCCTATCTTTTGTGCGTGTCACTTCTAGGGATGACCAGTTTGTGTTGCTGCACTATCACTCATCGAAAACTTTTCGAGCCTCTTTGGTAGAATTACTGTTTGGTGTTATAACGCTGTTAAAGGTCTGCTAAACAGAATATTGAGTTTGTCATAGTTCAATCTCAATCTGGGTAGCAGAGCTGCATGGCATTAGGTGATGTATGCAGTTTCGACACCATCTTTGTATCTGTTGAACCATCGTGTACCGGTATTCCTTGTAACCGTAAAAGGTGTTGGGTTGTTGGCAACAAGGGTAAGGCTTTAAGGTATTGTGTATTTCAGATATCGAGTATCCCGTTTGGTGCGCTTTTTCGTTTTTCTTGAAGGAGTACCTTTTCCCTCTATGAACTTACCTTTTCCGTTTCGGTGTGAGATGGGACGTCTCCAGTCCACAGGTATGCTGTCGCGAAAAAAAGTACCATAAAATGCCGCAGAAGTGCCCACTTTGCTCAAGTGCCCGCTATTAACATTTCCCAAACTTGGGAATTCTGCAAATTGTACATTAATCCTTTAAAGGGAAGCTGAGGAGGTTCTTGAAAAAAACGAGTTAGAGCTGAATTCTGGAGTATTTTTATCCTGTGAATATCACATTTGTTTTCCCCAAAGATGTAGCTCAATGTGAAAAAACACGAAAAACCTCCGACTAGTTGTTACGTCATAAAAGGATCTTTCGGCCGCCAAGCGCTTGTTGCTCGTGTGGGGGGCAGCGCGTGCAATTGCAACTTTCCAGGTATATTCCCCCGCACTGGCACCAGTCGTGACGCCTTTATTTTACCTTTCTGAAAATCGCGAGAGTATGCGTGCATAGCTTCAATAGGTGCTGAAGATGCACGAGAGCGGAGATTCTGAAAACTCCCAAAACGACGTCATGCTCAGGGAAGGAGGGGCTTCAGCGGTGCTCTGAAAAGGATTTTCTGCAGCCTCCGTGCACCAAATTGAAAAATAATCTCGATATTCGTAATTCTGGAGGCCAAATGAAGAAGATTTAAATGTTTTTTCTTAAATACTGAACCGCTTCAGTTTCCCTTTAAGTGCCGGGTTTTTTTCATCCCAGCGTGCACCCTGTGCCAAGTTATTTTTGCTGCACAAAAAAAAGATTAGTTTCTAAACGCACAAATGCGGTTGCGTGCTTCAGTATGTACATTTATTTACCAGGTTACAGTGCTCTACTTTTCAAGAGTTCTTCAACTCTTTCCTGACCTCGCCCATAGGCCACCGGTCATCGTTGGTTTTCAAGCGCCGTCAAGAAATTAAATTTAGTGTGTAGAATTATGTTCCACAATCTCGTGGATTGCCGAAGGACTTCAGTTTCAGTTTCAGTTTCAGTGTAGGTTTGAGGTTTATCACAAGCTCATGGGCTGTCAAAAATAGTCTTGGGAACGGTGGTTGCACTTGTCTAACACGGCTAACTGCTTGCATCAGTCTTCGTAACAAAGATGGCATTATTCACATATTTCAACTGTATTGTGGCATATTTTTACAGCAGAGCGGTCAAGCGCTAGTTTCCCCGGTATCGTGTCCGTCAGCAAACAAATGATGACACGAAACTCTGGGCAGCTACTGCCGTCTATAAGCGACGGCAGCAACCAGACAACCGGCTTGCCAGTTGTCTGGTTGCCGCTGTCGCTCATAGATGGTGCAACCTTTCCAGCCTTTCCACTCTGGCTTGCCGACTTGCGGCCAGCCATTACTTCATTTCCACCATAGTGCAGCTTCGCTGGTCTTCCTTCTTCACCAGAGTGGAAAGGCTGAAAGTTTTTTTAGACCGCAAGAGAACTTTAAATGTTGTTGTAGGCATTGCTTAACAGGTGGTTGTTGGTAAGAATCACTGTAATTTCCAATGCTGTCCTGAGCCGGCGTGCACATTTTATGTTCCCAACAAGGCGGACAAAAATGCTAAGTATAAAGCTACTGCAATCAAGGTTACGACGAAACAAAGGTAGAACTCAAAGAAAGAATTCTGCTGGGGATGTGAGGTGTACTATCTGTGTTTCACCACTGTAAGTATGCCTTCATTGAGAAGCGCACATTTTACGGAGGCTAACTCTCTGGCAAACCAAAAATAGACGTCAGTTATAGTACGCTAACTTTCAGAAGTAAAAGCCGTCAGTGTCGGGCGCATTTTGTATATTCTGAATTTTTCTTCTATTTGTCATTTAATTTGAATAACTGTAGAAGTGTCTGTGTTTATACGTCTTCCGCACATACATTGTAAGTTCAAACAATAAAATTTTAAAATCTTTTTCCCACATTATACTAACCCGTTTCTTTTGAAAGATCAACTAATTGGTCACATTTTGATGTGCTCCATGCGCAAATTAGTTAATAAAATAAAAGCGTTTGCATAGATCCTTTGAAAATTGCTACTTTTCCCGTGGTCAGAAAAGAGTTCACTTTTAAATTGAAGTGAACATTGGGAACAAAGTCACCTGGAGTCCAGTTGGGGCCTGTTGTCGAGTTTTTTTCTTTTTGAGTGGCCTTTTAGGTGGCAACGACTTGTTATCACTTTATCAGTATCCCTAGTACACGCAGTTTCACTGTCATCAGATTCTGAATTCATTAGCAGTTTCTAGATTTCAGCATCCATTAAAGAGTGCGAAGTAGAAGCACGTGGGTTCGCCATTCAAAAACAATGTTGACTCGGAAATGCATACGGGGGAAGTTGTCTCCACAAAATTCCACCTGGCGTGAAAAGGCGAAACCACAATTAAAAAATATAGTCCAGTAAACTGCCCAGCAAAAAAAAAAATTATTTTGTCAGTTTGAGTCAAGTTAGAAGGGGCGGGAATAAATTGAAAACTCGAAACGGGTACACTCGGGCGCATCAGGGGGTGTGCCGGGGAGCGTGCCCCAAGTTTACTCGGGCATGGCACTCAAAGGGTTCAGGGCCGGATTTGACTGGACAAGCGCCCATGTCTGGATTAGCCCAGCCTTCAGTAAAAGTGGGGTGGGCGCTCCCCCAGTATTTTACAATAGTACTACCGATCGGTTCGGACAAGAGCCCAAGTAAATTTACATTTCAAAACATGAGGGCCCACGTTTTTGCCCTCGGGTCTTGAGAGAAGAGTATGTAACTTGCGGGAGTGGTGCATTTGCAGCAGCCGCCGGAGCAGCTCGCCGAAAGGCAGCCTCAGCTGGAGATGGCGGCGGCCAGCCCAGCACGTGTCGCGACAGATACGATCCAGAACAACCACGGGCCGTCAACGGCATCGCCACTGACAGAGCTGACATACACACGCAACCTTCTTAGGGATGCACTGCCCCCGAGCCAGCAGCCACCCCAGGACCACGAGGATCAGAGCTGGGAAGGTAATGCACTCTCGGTACCGACAGAATGAGAACAATGGGGAGGAGGTTCGGTGGTCCCGTCTCCAGCACCCCTTTCCTACCTTCGATAACGGCGTCTCGCGAGTCTGGAGCATGCACGCGCAGTCAAAGCATGGCCAAAGGCAAAGAGCGCATGCTGGAGGACGAGCGTTCGAAAGGGTCGCCTTTCTCATTCTGTCAGAGACTTTATAGTGTGGCACGCAACAGAACTTGGGGGACACTTTCGGTTGATACTGCTTGCCTGTCAGACGAACGAGATACAGCAATTCGATTGCGGTTTGTTGAGGCTTTCTGAAGCTTTACAGGAGCAGTATAGATTGTCCGTAACTCCTGGAGGCCTTTCTCAACTCCGAGGCTTTTGGGGAAACATTTTGGTATGGAAGATAGGAAACGCTTCGAAATAAAGATGCGGCAACAATAGGTTCCCCGATGAGCCCATTCTGCTTTAAGGATTTCAAATTAATGAGAATTTAAATGAACTGATGTACATATTGTTAGGGGAGTCAAAGCGAAAATTAGAATTTGGAGAAAGGACAGACTAGTTTCTTCGTGCTGAAATTGATTCACCCTCATACGTGTCGTCAATCAGTTATTGAAGTAGCATACCGGCATATATGCATTCAAAATTTGGCTCGCTGAGCACAACTTGTATCTGGCACGGTGGATGTTGAACCTTTTGGTGGGTAGCGATGCATTTCATAAAGGCTTTTGTGTCGGAGTTGTGTACAACTCGGCGCACGTCTCGACTGAAGAAACTATGGTGCTGTCACTTCAGAAGAACCTGCTGCTGCTCGTGCGGCGGTTTCGACACCGGTATGCACAAGCGAGAGCGCTCCTGAGGCAGCCAGCGAAAACGGCATGCAGGCAGCGCATACAGACCCTGCAGACGCCGGTGCCGCCGAAGCCGCCGGTCCCGGCCTGCGTGCCCGCGCCCTCTACGACTACCAAGCCGGTAAGTCCGGCCCCGTGACCGTTGCGGGAAATTTGCACCGAGTCTAAATGTGCATGGCAAGTTTAGAAACTGGACGGCAATTGTGGTGGTCATATTCCTATATACCATACTTGTTCGCACGCAACAGGTCTCCCTTTCCAGGAACAGCGCCTGCGAGTACGGTAGAACCTCATTCATTTCAAAGTTGGTCAGACGGTGAAAAGTGTCCGAATTGTGCGAATTTTTAAATTGCCGTCAAATGCCGAGCAAACGGCCACCCAAAAGTTGGAGATGGGCACTTGTTAGGTGCGAGAGCAGAAAAGCGGTACGGTGACGTGGTAGAGTAGGCTCTTGTTCGATTCGACGGAATGACGAAAGTGCAGCGTTAGGGATCTGGCGGAGCCCCGAATTCTTCAAGCAACCATACCACTCTCACTGAGCGTGTTTTATGCCACCACTCTTGCATTACACATCACCGCTTTGCACCGGTGCACGCACTGAAAGCTTCACCGACTTGCACCAGTTTTTAGTAGAAGCAACCGACGCAGATTAACACCTCAGTTAGCTCGGGTGCGTTCAGAAGGTTGCTGAAGTGAGCACTTGTTATGTCCTTTGGTTATATTTCAAATGTTTCAAAAGGAGGGGTTGGGTGCTTGTTGCGACTTGGGCGCATGCTTGGTATCAAAAAACGGAAAAAATGACAAAAATTGTGCACGAAGCCTAGTTATGAAAGTCTGAACGAACCTTTTAATTAAAGACGAGCAATCATTGATCTGGGATTGTGGCGTTCTGCAGCTCGTAGCACCCAAGGTCATGTTTTCGGAGACCACCTCCAAATGGCCACCGCTGCACTGCGCAGCTGCGGAAGCCATTCGGCGATTAACTTCTCCTAATAATGGCCGATTCACACGACGGACTGATCCGCAGACGGTTTGATTACGTGATGACATGTCCACGGTTCGTCCGTCTCCCAAGCGCATCCATCTGAGGGAGACGATGAGCAGACACGAGCGAGGACGGATTGAACCTGTTCGTCACCCCACAGTGCTGCGAAACTCCAACATCGCACCATGTCACCGTTGTTTAAGAGAGAAATCAGTGTTTGCTACTGCGATAAATAATCTTAGGCCGCTGTTACATACAGATTGAGACAAAACACCGTGATAGGCTTCGTGCAAAGTGCCACTAGCTTTGCATGACAGTGACACAGGCATGGTCCTGCTCGAAAAGGGTTCGGCATAGAAGCAACGAAGTTCTGGGCTCGCGGAGGGGCGTTTGGAGATGCCTTTACACACCCCGTGCTCGTGCACAACACTTGAGTACACAACAGCCATAAAAAGGTCTTGCTCGGTGAAAGCCTGATTGGACGTGCAAGAATAATCGCAGAATGCTACAAGAGTTTTGACGGTAGCTTCTGACCCGGAGGAGTACTGGAACCTGCGTCGCGTCAGCCAGACAAAGTTTCTGCAGTTTGTTTCACGCGTGGAACCAAGAATCGTGCGACAAAGTGAACCAACTAGGTAAAGGGACTTCAGCGATAAACTAGTATCCCCTTCACCTGGCATAAGGGCCCCCCCCCCCCCCCCCTTGGCTGCTGCCATGTTGTACAATTTTGACCACTAGACACGTGACTGTACCAAATGCTGAGGCTTTTACACAAAACTGAGCCGAGATTCGCATTGCAATCGCGGTAAAAAAACATGATAAACTATTTTTCAATACTGTTAGCCCCAGAGATCAGTGTCTAGCTCCGATGAAAACCCAAAATACAGCACCGCGGCTGACGGCATCTAGCAGAGGCATTGCGAAGCTGCCCGAGTTTTTGTCGTAAAAGCACATTTTGGACTTAAAACAAACGAAACATAACTTATCTTGTCAGTACTGTTATTAAAGATCAATAAGCAATTATTTGTGCGCGGTACTTCGTTAAAATCTAGACGTAAAACTATAAAGTCACCTGTCTAGTGATTAAAATTGTGCAACATGGCGGCGGCCAATTGGGGGTCACTTTCGGCTGCCAGTTTATCGTTCTAAGCCCCTCTTAGAGCGATAAAAAGAACGCACACACCACAATGGTGCGTCATTTTTGTTTTAATCGTCCAAAAACAAGAAAGCATTGTACCGTCTCCTGCCGAAAATCTGGGAGTGAAAAGGCGCTCGACTTAATAAGTCCGCGTGTCCGTGGATGAGGTGCGGATCGCAGGAATCGGTGACGTGCCGGTCACGTGGTACACGGTCCCCAGACGAAAATCGTGATTCGGTCTGTCGTGTGAATCGGCTATAAAGCGGGGGGCCGGAGGCAGCTCATCACCATTATCACCCTCGGATGTCACGCTTTGAGTTATTTCACTTTTAACGTCCGTATGGCAAGTTCTGTGTTCAAGTAGTCGGAGAAAAAGCCAATTCCTGCAGGCTCACCGTCGCATGCGTGCGTGGGCCCACCGCATCAGTAGCAGTTTCGTGCTCGGGGTTATCTACAGCATGGGGAAATGTATTGAACACACTTTAAGCTGAAATCGGTTTCTTAACTTATTGTGCTGGGATTTACTACAGAGGTCCCTGATATTTGTGGAAGCTTTCGCTAAAATTGTGGAAAGCTTGGCTCACCTGAGTAAATCCAGAAAAATCAAAAAGTGTTTTCCCTATACTTTGCATGTACACCCGCCGGCAATATGAAGGTGAACACCTTACCTGGTTTCTTGCCTGTTTTACGGCTCCCTAAAGCTATATTAACTCTCAGCGTCTCAAATGGTACGTGGCTTGGGGTCTAAACTTTGCGTTCCAGCCCTCTTCTGGAACTGAGTTTGTTTTAAAACTTGCAGGAGCGTCAAAAACAAGAAGAGGGCTGTTCATCTTCATATCGCTCACAGGTGTACACTGAAAAAATATATGTTACTGTGGCGCTTATTCGGGCCAAATGAAGTGAAGAATAGGCAAGCCAATTCTATTTTCTTTCCATTTCTCAAGTTCAATCGTAGTAAAAGCCACAATGACCCATAACGATTTTCTGACAATTTTAAGATAAAAGGCTTAGCGATCATTTTTTTATAGACACATCCAGTTTTTTTGTTTCTTTTGGCTCCGGAGGTTTCATGTATTCATACTCTCAATTAATGAATGCACCAGCTTCGAGCGCCTCTGTAGTAAATCTCAGCGCAATAAGTTCAGAAACCGATTTATGCGGTCAGTTTAAAGTGTGCTCAATCCATTTCGGCCACGCTGTAGTTTACGAAAAAAACTGTGCAATTATGAACACTACAGCAGCATGGCATGAAAATGACTGTTCAAGAGCTCAGGTTGAACAGAGACCGTAACCCTGTAAATCACACACAAGTGCTAAGGCAAATGGACTGCTAAGCACATAGACCAGCGACCAGGAAAATAAATAAAGACGTATGCTATACTCCTTTTGTTGCTAAATTGGGATGCAAACTTGTGCCACCTAGCAAATAAAAAGTGAACCTGGAAGACTGAAGTAGGGAATTTATCAGATCAGCATGCACGGAGTGGTCATATTATGACCGCTCCATGGTTTTATAATTTATCCATGATCCCATAATTTAATTTTTCGTACGGGACCGATTTCATATGGGAATCGGTCCCATATGAAAGTATGGGACCGATTCCACGGTCCCATACTTTCATGATAAATTATGGGACCATGGAAATCTTATAATCCCCCGGGAGTTTTTAATTCACTGGTATTGAATTATTGAGGTTCTACTACTGTATTCTACATTCCTGCAGGTCGTATAGGCAATGTGTAGATCCAAAAGATTGACCCGTGCTGGGGCTCAGAACATGACAAACACGGGCTTGGGATCCATGTGCAGGTTAAATTCTTGAGCCCCAGTGTTGTCGGTGGCACTTCGTTTGCTGCTGTACTGTTGTTAAGTGTAAGCGCGTGCTCTATGGAAAAGTATATGCCCAGGTCGTGTTCATAAAAAATATCAACCAATTTTAGACTAGATATGCTATATAAATAGTAAACAGTCGGAAGAAATATCTGAAATGTTTAACTGAATGCAATGCATTCTTTCATGTAAATATTTTAATTCAATGTGCTAGCCTTGAAGAACACATTAAAAAAAGCTAGTGAGCGTCTCACAATCGCCAATCTTAAAATTCAGCGCAATCGTTATACCGAGCGGCCGCCAGATGTCCGCACTCCAGTTGTCTCATATTGTTGGTTAACTTTTTATCTATTCTAAAAGTGTGAGGGAGGCCATGTACAAGAGTGTGGTGTCCACACTTAACTGGTTTTGAATGCAATCCGTTTTGCCATGTCGTATGTGGTTATTGCGTGGGTAGTTATTGTGTATTCAACCCTTGGTTTCGTGGCTCTACCGCATCAGTTTGTGCATGTGGACCCTGCATTGGGGTTCTCTCGTGACCACGTCGTGTATAAATCGAGGTTAGTAAAGACCACTTGAAACGGTAGAGCGAATGCAAACAGTCTATTTGGAATGTCGTAGGGTGTTTTACCGCGGCGCTTGCCTGGAAGTTAATTGGTCGCCTTGGTCTGCCTTTCGGTCCAGCCGACGACACGGAGATCTCGTTTGATCCAGACGACGTCATCACGCACATTGAGCAAATCGACGAGGGCTGGTGGCAAGGCCTGGGACCCAACGGAACCTACGGTCTCTTCCCGGCCAACTACGTTGAGCTGATTGACTGATGGCATCCAAGGAACCACCTGGAAAGGAGCAAACGCTTGCCTCCTTATCAATTTGTCACGGCGCTTCCTTCTCCAGACGGGTTTAAAGCACACCACTGTTTTAAAGAATTGGAACATGCATGCCCCCCCTTTCTTGCCACACAGTGGGGACAGCTGTTCACGGGCTTGATGGGAAACGGGTGTAAACCCCTCCCAATCCGAGGATTAACAACGAATGTGTCCGAACGTCGTGTACATGCGTAGTACTTAGCTTCTGTCAAGGTTGGAAGGTTGTGGTTCCGAAGGCGCGTGGCACCGCACTGCCGTTTTACTTGCTTCTGTTGGCCAACTGCCACAATTTTTTGTGACATGTTTATTTTTGTCTGAGCAGTGTTTGTGCCAAGCTAACTCTGTTTGACGCTTACCCTAGACTTAGTGAGAGCAACCAAAACTAGGGATTCTGGTCTAAGCCCACATTTACCTTATACTTACCCTTAGCTAGAGCTTCCTAGTCACTCTTTATTCGGTGCATGTTGTAGCTGAGTTGCGCGAAGCACGGTTTGTTTCCCGCGACATCTTCCGAATGTGGCGCTCTGCAGTTGCTTCACCTAGATGCTAAGCTGTGCTCTGTGTTCTATAAGCTAAGTCATGATGGTGAACTCAAGCTGTACCTCGAAAGAACACATTTCACCCGATGTTGATCGTGCTCAATGTAGTTGTTTTGAGTGCAGTTGCACTTTGTCTTCGTTGGAACTGGTTACTGTTATATATCTTAAAACCCCTTCGTTTAACAACCACTGCTAGGGCTGCACCCTTTACAGTGCCGGTCACACTGCAGCCAGGGGGGAATGGGAATTTAGGGGCTGGAAGCTGCATGTGTAGATCTCAAGGCCTTAACAGCTCATTTACCAAAAACAAACAAACCTACAAAAAAAAAAAGACTGCACAAATTTATTACTCCTTCATTTTTGCATCTTTATACAGTTTTTGCCGTTCTGTGTCTGTAGTCAAGGTTTTGTGTTTTTCTAATATAATAAACTAGTACTCAGAACCTAAACCGAGCAGTCTTTCTTTGATAAGAGATGTTCATAGACCAGCAAAATAGACCCGTTTCAAAAGTCTGGTACGGCCCGGATAAAATCCTTTCCTCCTTTGAGCGACCAAAACAGAAAGCTTTCAATGAATTATGTCGAGAAGGCACTCAAACTATCTGGCTGATCCTGGTGATGCAGTGCTTCTATTACTGCCGTCAGCGAGGTTGCCACTGGGATGGCACCTGCTTTTGAAATGGGTCTATCAGCTGCCAAGATTTTACTTTGTTCATAGAAAAGGTCTGGCCGATTGGTGTGAAAGGTCGAAAGTAAGAGTTGCAGAGTCATGTGCTACCTGTCTTGGTGCAATAAAGTCGCAGAGAGGAAGTGGGACCGATGACAGCATTTCACCGCCCGAAAGAAGTAGCAGCCGTCATGGTAAGGACATACTTTCCATCAGCTGAGTGCTGCAGGCTGGCAGAGGTGGCCGAGGGAAGAGGAGAGCCGATGAAGTTGATCGAGGATGGTGCCGGAAAGCACGGTCTCGGAGTGCACGCACACCAGCTCCAGGCAGGACAGTTGGTCCAGGGAGACATCCGGAAAGCAGTACCGCATCAGCTGCCTGCATTCCCCATTGGGGTTGACTGACACCACAACAGCTTTTTGCGTTGCATCACATGCCTCAATCTTGGTGTCTGGATTGCAGCAGGTGCTGGGTTGACGTGTTGCCAAAATGCGCTTTTCCTTACAGCTAACTGGGCCAATGTGCCGAGAAACTGAGGGAGAGGAGGGGATGCCAGAACGCCGAGCTATGGTTGGAACGATTAGCCGGTAGATCTAAAGCTAGCTGTCTCCACCGCAGTCGTCAAACACGTTAAAACGCATATTGGCTCTCGCATTTGACGAGTGCAGTGGAGACAAAGCTAGCTTTAGGTCTACCCGCTAATCATTCCAATCATAGCTCGGCGTTCTGATGTCCCCGTGCACTCTTGTCTCCTCCTTTTCCTCATTTCCTCGGCGCATAGATGGCCAGTCCACTACTATGAAGTCCACAAAGCTGCTAGACCGAAGCCAACTTCTGTTCCGAAAAGGCAGCGATAAGGTATGCTGGAAGAGGTGCAGCAGCCCGTGGGAGAGGCTGTGACCTTGGCTACAAAAGAGGTGCTAGTTCAACGTGCCGGAAGTCTCAAAAATATTTTTAAAGAACAAAATTTTTAAAAACGAAACAAATTTTGGGAAACTTTTGTCTACTTATAATACCGAGTATACGGTGTAGTAATAATACGCTTTTTACGTCAATATTGGAGACGATAAAAAATAAGCATGTGGCAATGTTTACTCGCGAATTATTTTAACTAATTAATGTGACTTTAATAGCTTGCCCTAGAATCCCCGAGAACGCGGGGAATATTTTAGCGAGGCTACTTTTGAATATGTATTTTTATATTTATTTTAATAAATTAAGAACCATTTCATAGCCATTCAAGACTACCGTCGCAGGACCGGGGCCGCAAGGCTGGTTCACACACTTGCGTTTGTGACCGACTGCGCTACGGCTCCTTGTGTTCCACTGTCATGGATTGCGCAGAGTTGAAACGAGGTAGCACCAGTGTGCAAGTAACAAGAATGCTTCTGGTCCTGAACTAGACAAAGTTTTGCAGTATTTGCGAGATCGAACCAACGCACTATCTACAAAAAATGGTTGTTTGTAACATCGTCAGAATTACGTCGAGCGTATGGTGAAAGAATGATGTGAAAAAATATATGCGCATCCAAAGTGTTCCAAAGGCATGGGCCGCGTTCAGCTCACTTTTTGTCACCCTCGATGTAGTCGGCGAAGGAAGAGTCATACTCATTTGCACTTTCACTTTTCTGTTGTGAATTGGTGATTTATGTGGTATAGTGCTGTCCTTTAAATGCAGTAGCATTTTGACTCGCATTCAAGTGCAAGCACAGGAGAGTGAGGCACACGTGACATTCCCTCCTGATTGCACGCACATGTGGGTCGTGGAACGGTGCTCGCTGGATGTCCCAGTTTTCACGATGCCTCGCAAAAGGAAACAGTGGACTAAAGAGGAGATAGCTGAACAGTGGTGGCCACTTTAGTCGCAATTTAATTCGCAGAAGAAGACGAGCAATGCTATCGCATTTCAGCGTAGTCTACAGCAGAGCACCGCATAAATGCAGTCTTTTTTTTTTTTTACATTTATTTATCTTTTCTGTTTCGACCATTAGTAAAAAGGTTGCAATAAGTAATAAATAAGTAAAAATCCCAAAGGGTACCACATTTGAACGTTCCACATTCGTGAGTATACTTGTCCTATTAAAAACAATGCTGCGCATTATTTTCAATACAGTTCGCTAGATTTTAAAGAATTGGCAAATTACGCAATAAGCACTCGTCTCAATGACTATTTTTCAATCTACCGCACGAAGGAAGCGCGCTTCCTAATAAGCTCATTTGGCAAAGCACCTATAATCGTAGTAGTACGCAGAAATGTTACATTTCTTCCAACGTTGCAGTTAATCCAGGGATGCTCCTTTACAACAACACCCAACTTGGCGCTTGAGAAGCAAACTGGCTCACCCGTAGAAGTTGCCCACCATGGCGCCCGGGTAGGACATCCGCCGCAGGCTGCTGGGGTCCACGGCGCACTTGGGCTTGACCGTCTTGCCCTGCAGGGAACACGGCACTCAGCAGTCCATCCCCCGCAAGTCTCGCGACCCGGCAACGTAAAAGCTCACCGCCAGGTTTTCAAACCACAGGATGTAGGAGAACTGGAGCTCCCCTTCGGCCCACATGGTGGTGAACGAGCCTTCGTGGGCGTACTTTTGGGCAAAGTCCCATCCTTTCCAGACCTGAGAAGCAGGGTCGCACTCAGCAAGGTGGCTACACCCAAACATTCTACATGTTGCAGCACCACCACCCGGAGCTGGTGCCAGGACTGTGCCGTAAAGCATTGATTATCAAGCTACCTTTTTAGGAAGGAGCCAATAGGTTCCCCCAAGCTCCCAAATTTACTTGACAGTCTCGGTCACTAAAAAAAAAAAATGTTTCCCCGATGCAAGCGTTATTTTAGCAGATCTAAGCCAGCCACTGATGCCTAACTACGAGCCAGACACCCCCCCATGTCCACCTTTGTTTATGCACTCTGTAGGCTTCTGCAAAGTGCAATAATACTCCTCGGAAACAAAAAAAAATTGGCAACCTGTTATAAATTTCTGGGGCTACGAAAAAACTACGGTGTTCCCCGGTTGGCTGGCTCGCCTGCGCGCTTTCGCTTCACGACGAGCGTTTGGAATCGGCACTCTGATAGAAGCGCAGACGTCTTTGAGAAAGATATCCATGATGAGGCTTAGATTGGAGTGCGCACCTTGTCCCGTAGTTCCTCCGAAGCAATGCGTGGTGCTATCATTTGGTTGCTGCTCCTGTTTATGTAAGAAAAATGAAGCAACCCCGGGTACTGCAAAGAGAATCTGCAAATTTGTCAAGGTGACATGTCCAGCAAGTAGGAACTGATGGCATAAAGGCTCAAATAAAAAACCTCGAAAACTCGTAAAAAATCTTTCTTGGTTCTTTCCCCCAAGATGAAAATAGACAAATGTGAAATTTCCAGGTCATCAAAAATCTTTGAAAATATTTGCACTCCGATTTCTGAAATGCAGCATGTCTGTTCATTTGCATTCTATCCAGCTTTGGAACTTGATTGAATAATTATGCACTGATTAATGAAACAGAGAGAAACACACGACTAAAAAAAGTAATACGCTGGAAAGAAAAAAAAAAATGTTCATACTAGAGTTGATGCTTCATTAATTCCAAAATTATCAGTATTTAAAACAAAACAAAAATATACATTTTTGTTTTGTCCCCTCCCCCCCCCCCCCCCTCTCCTTCCCCAAGAAAAAAAAAACGAAAAAAAAAAGTAAGCGCAGCCAGTTGCTGCGATTAACGCAAAGGATACGAGCTTATACTCAGGTCCTCATCTGCCTTGACCAGCAGAAAGTCCATGTAGTCCTCGAGTCTCTTCTCAACTAGAGTTTTGACGAGTTCGAGGGACTCGACCAGTCTGGGCCGGGGTTCTGTTTCACGAGCAATCTCTGGCTTGAGGACGAGCTCTTCAAAGGCCGCCTGCAGCGCTTTCTTGAGCAGTAGCAGTGCTTCTTCAGATCTTGCAACCAGTGAACCAGCACAATGCTTAGTTACTAAACTACATAGGTGCTGCTTCTGTATGTGACACTGCTACATTGCACACGTTATACCAGATGGATATCCAAGTGGTTGATGTCCAAATCAATTTGATTCGAGGACAAGCTTTTTGAAGGCTGCCTGCAGTGCTTTCTTGAGCAATAGCAGTGCTTCTTCAGACCTTGCAACCAGTGCAAGGCTTAGTAACTACACTGTGCAGGAGCTATTTCTGTATGCGACACAACCACTTAGATATCTACCAGATAGATATTGTGGGAATCTATTCACTAAACTCGATTGGATCGTGATTGAGCCTCGTTGTCTGCTTCACGACCCTCCCATGCGAGGGTCGTGAAGCAGACAACCTGTTCCGACTTTCTCTCTCGCCGTATTCCCTTTCCCATCCTATTTGGGAAGGCTCCTTCATCGGGAGACCAGACGGTATTAGGGAGCACGCCCGTCCAAGCAGAGTTCTCTCTTGGACTCCATACACAAAAGATGCATACGGCTGCCCTCTGACAATGACACGCTTCTTTTGTGGCTCTCCTGTCGATGGTGGCTCGGGGCCTATGACCCGTGCCGCTCACTCCACCGCAGTGTGTTTTGGAAACCCTCGTTCCAGTAATTGCTGTTGAATCTGAATCATTGTCTGATATGGCATTATTACTTGTACTCGTTGCAGTAGGTCAACGAACCCGGTGCGGCAACTGCTCTTCTGGTAGCGTGGCTGCACAGAGGGAGTGTACTTGGGGCATCAGACCTTTTTTGGCTCGGCTCCTGTGTGTAACTTACTTCCCACAATACTTGAGAGGTTGATGCCCACATCGATACAAATAAAAAAACGACCCCGCTGCCCCACGTAAACTTGTACCGACGTGACGTAAGCATTACTTTTAGTCTTGAAAATTGTCTGAAGTTTACAAACTTTCACAGTGCTGTGTCATTCGACACATAAGACCTCGCCCTTCACGAAAATGCCTTTGGCCCATCGTAAATATGGTGGGAAGGCTGAAAACTGTGCTAAGAAAATGAACAGTAGTGCATCTGGTCACTACTGTTGCCAATTCTTACAAATTGGAGGACACAAGAATTGTTGCAATGATTCCAACAAAGCCTTTAGGCTAATTTAGCTGAGGTTCAGTCCATGATTCCCATAAAAAACAGAAGTTATCGTTACTCACAACCTGGCACTGTGATGTGAAAGCATTTCAGAGGAGGAAAAGCAACAAAAACATTTATTGCTCGGAAAACCCCAAGTCGAGCGTATCCTAGAAAACCAGGTAGAATCTGAGCTTTTCGTTAGGCTTGCAGTGAAACAGCATTTTAACAAAAAAAAAAAAAAAACTGCCAAAAATGCAAAAGGGTAGGCTGGGCCATTGCTTTGGGAGAAATTCCCACGCGATAAAAAACTCCTTCCCCCTATCCTCCCCTACTTCAACCCCTCCCAAGTACCAGTAACAAACCTGCCAAGTACTGGGACATGGAATTAGTTATTAAAGACCCTGCAAAATAAAGGTGGGGAGGGAGGAAGGAGGGCATGGGCAAAAATTTATTTTTTACTGTTGTGGTAGCTGCCCTTTTCAAGAATTCCTCTCAGTAGTTTTGGCTGCGACAACGCCCAGCCTGCTGACACTTTGCCAAGAGAATGTGTGTGTCTTGTTTACCGCCATGGCTGCCGATAAGTGGGTGGACAAACAATTTTCAAAGATAAAATAAAAGCTGGACTAATAGTGCCTAAGAACCTATACCTAGTAATGTGTAATAGTACAAAAAAAAAAAAAAAGCTGTGAAAATGTGGGGGTTCATCAGGGAAGAGAAAAGCAGGCTCCTAGAGCAGTTTCTCCACCGAGCTTATTGGGTCAGGTGCCAACAATGAAAATTTGCTCGGGTTTTCATTTCTAGGCGTGCAGTAACACATGTAACCCACCAAGAGATTCTGAGAGATTTTTCTGTCAATCATACAAAATGGTCAGAAACCGTGCACTAGCTGCACGGGCAATTCCGAAGGCTTGATTGGAGTGCAGCAACACACGCCCTTGGTTAACTTAGAGAATCGTCATCTGCCGGGAAAAAAAACGGTTCCCTTCTCTGCATTCCCTCTCGCACTCTTCTCTTCCCTCTCACCACAGGAGCAGGACTCTGAGCTACTCCCTGTAGAAAGAAAACGTCTCTCGAATGGAAAGGAGGAATAGAGGGAGAGTTTCCTTCGTCCTGGTTGCTGGTCAGCCTTTAAGTTTGGATACTTTCTCGTCACGAGTGCAGGGCACATTTCACGTCTTGTCAGATATTGGGGAAGCATACACACCTGGATGCCAGCTCTGCATTTTCTGGCCCGGACAAATATTCCACAAAGCCAGACATCTTTAGGTATGTCCACTTCTTGGAAACGAGGCTGATACTCATTTCCTGATCACTCTTCAGCTGACAGAAAGAGGCAGTAATAACAAAGGGTTACACATATGAAGAACTCTTTCCAGAACCCTTTGCAAAAGCAAAAAATGTGCCACACAGAAAATGTTCACAAAACAATAGAATGCAAAACCTCCGGACTGTTCACTCCTTACCGAAGTCTGTTAGCTGCACGAAAATGACTTTTTCAATAATCAACATCCAAATAAAGCACAAGGTTGAGCAGCAGCTGAATGGGACAGGCCTTTAGAAGACCGGTCCCTTCCACACGTTGTCAGAATTTGTACAAGTTCGCACAGCCACAAAATTTTGCTGCTTCTGGTTCTGTAGCAGTTCCATAGACCACAATTCCAAGACTTTCCCGCAGAATCAACTTGATCCACAAAGGCAGATGCAAGTGGCACCCGCCCACCCACCTCGGCTCTCCGGGAGGTGTCCATAAGCCGGTTGATGGCACTCTCCAGGACATCTACTGTCAGCCGACAGCGACCTTCCTCCGGGTTCTGCTGAATCGACTGCATCTGTTTCATCAGGCTGAACAAATTGTCAGCCAGCAGCACCTTGTTCACCTGGGGACATAAGGTGCGGTGAAGTGGGCAGTCTCTGGACTCCAAAACTACAGGGCCATGGGGGAGCAGTTGAAAAAGTGCACCTCGCTAACCACGACCAGCATGATGCTCTCGGTGACTCGAAGGGAGTGGGTGACGAAAGGCATGGCCGAGTGGAGGCTGGTGGCAAAGAACAGCAGCAGGCTGTGCAAGCCCCCGCTTGTGGGCTCTCTCTGCAGAAGGGAAAGACGGACTGAGCTCTCAGCTGGGCCACTGTTATCAATTTATAGGGGTACGGAAACAAACATTTAAACATTCAAATTTCAATCGGAAATGAGTCAAGCATGACGGATAATAACCGTAAATGATAATCGCACCACCATTTTGAACGAATGGCTATATCTTTCGTTCCAAACGGTGCAATTGAGCAAGCGCTCGAAGAGAAGTGAACGGAGAGTGCGATGCGTCATGGGATATCCGGCGCAAACAAAAACAGAAAGAAAAGATTCTCCGCATTCGTAACGCAGCAAGGCAGGCGTGGTTATGAGCTTTGCCGCTGGTGGTGTTGTCAGCGTTGTGGTGGTGTCAATAGCGTCAACGCGTTACAACCGAGCTGTTCAAAGTACCCCTGGGGTGACAAGCGTGTGGCTGGCCCAAGGAGCACGTAGCTTCCACAACACTGTCAGCTTAGAGCTGAACGGGGTGGGGAAAGCAACTTTTGTCCGAATTTTGAACGACGGGCTAATCTTCTAAAGGGAGAATAGCTGTATCCGGGTGCACAAACGAGGGTCTGAGAAAGAGGGGAGTACCTCTTTTGGACTGTTTTGTACTTTTGGACTTTTGGACAAAAGAGGGGAGTACCTCTTTTTGGACTGTTTTGTACAATGCGCGATTTGTGAGTTGAGGAGGAAAGCTAAGAAGGAAAATGTTAAAATGCCAAAGAGTGGCGCTGCTCCGATGGAATTTGCTACGTCATTACTACGTAGCAAGTTCCCCAACGTTGCTAGATTACTTCCCAAATAGGCTCCACATGCATCCACCAGGTGCACATTGAAAGATTGTTTAATTAGCTTTAAAATTAGTTTGCTTGTGCCTTTCAACGAAGGACTGGTATTTTTGTGGTTATGCTGCAACATGCAACACATTAAAGCTAAAAAATGAGTGCTGGAATTTCGTTTCCGTACCCCTTTAAAGGGGCCCTGCAAGGAATTTTTACTGGTTTTTAATTTGCACCGAACCTGAGTGCACTGAACGTAGTAACTTAATGAAACTTTTCTTTTCTCGAAATTCGCTTTATTTTAAAAGTTATAGGCAAATTAAAATTACAAAAACAAGCAAAAAATAACCCCCCTCATGAAGTCCTTGGTTGCTTGAGTGACCGTGAACTAGAGGAGGGGTAGTGAGCTCATCGAGCACACACGGCTGCCGCACTCCATGCGACGGCGTGAGAGGGCGCCACTAAAGCATGTTCTGGATAGGCTGTATGCAGCGGGCAGCCAGAGCGGCTCTCATTGCATTTGCTGCGCAATTAAACACTAATTCGGCATGACACTTCATTGGCCACAAACGACAGCAAACACGGGGTAAAGATCAATTCAGAATGGGAGCCCCTTCACGCTGCCATACCGCGAAACGGCCAAACCGCAAAACAAAGCTCGCCGAAGGCCTTCGGAACGCTCGGAGCCGGTCGAATCCTCCTGTCCATACGACCGCAGCGCCGCCGCGTACATCCGGGACCTTTCCATGTCGGTGCCTGATCCCACTACTCCTTTCTAGTATGCGCCGCCTTTTCCACCGCTTGGTGGCGGGTATGTCGACGGGTCATTTCTTGTTTCCGTATTTATAAACTGCATTTGTTTCTTTTCTGATCTAAGATACTGAACAAAAACTACTTTTATAAATAATTAAAATGGTTCGTGCCACTTATATTTTGTATTTCTACTAAAAAGAAGCTTTTAGCGGCTCTGACCATTAGTAACCCCAGGACCAAAGACGTCACATTTTGCGCGCTTTCGGTACCACAGGTCGCCCTTGTCGGTAGAGGAGGTTTCCGCGTCGTCCGGTTAAAATATGACGCACTGATATTTAGTTACTCTCTCCGTCCCGCTGGCTTGCCCGAACCTCAAGAGACAGGGAAACCGCAAAAAAGATAGACGCTTAAATATGATTGCAGGGCAAGGGGGACACTACCTGGGAATGTCAACTTTTGAACCGCTCACTTAATCGGCGTGATATCTGTAGGTGGTGTTTGTAGCCATATAGAAGGAGGGCGTGCAAAGTTTCAGCCCTGTGAACTCCCCAGAACGAAGTAAAGCATAGCTTCGCATAGAATTTGCTCAATAAATTTATCGTTGAGAAATGGTGTTGATAACCACATATTTTTCTGGTGGAATGCATACTGGAGTACCTGTTGCTGGTTACTATGAAAAGAAATTTTTAAAAAACATGCATTTTACAGGTAAAAAAAATTATATATATAAAAAATTGTTTTACATTTACGAAGTTTTGCAAATTACAATTTTTCATAATAAAAAACATGAAGATGCAAAATCTAGGCTTATAGTAACCGGCTTCATAAAATTTTGGTATATAAGCCGCTAAAAATTCAGTCTTTCAATAGTTTTGTACTAAAATGAAAAATTTATTAAGTGCAATTTAGGCCAAAAAGAGAAACAAAGAAAAATGTGTTCAAAGTGCTTGAACCTCTAACTTTTCTTTAGCATCGGTGGACCGAAACTAATTTATAAAAAAATAACTATGCAGTGTAAGCAATTGAAACTTTCTGGAAATACTCTCTAGATGTTGGCAGATGTAAACATGGTATTTTTTAAACTCAACTTTTTTTGCAGAAACTTTTTTTCTGGGTAGTGTCCCCCCTTAAAAGAATTTGGTTAGAAAATAAATGGTCAGGACACCTCGGCTCGATAGGTGTGCCATTTTCACCCAATGATGTATGTAATTTGAATTAAAAAAATTAGCATATGAAGTTCTCAACACATCGGAGCAAGAGAATATGGCTGGCATTTGCATTTGTTTGGACACTCCCTCATCTGTGTTTGGAAGTCTCTAAAATATGGGTTGCAGGAGCACAACCATAGACATTATGTTGAGGCAGGTGTTTTGGTTGTATTGTATAAAATTGCAGAACCATTTTAAAGTCTAGTAATTACAGAGAAATTTATTACCAGCAAAAGAGAGGGAAAGCCCAAGACGAAGAGGGGAATGCTGTTTAAAGAGAAAACAGAGGTTCATAGGTGGGAGCTTTTTTCCCCAGGCCCTTTGAAGGAATGTCTCATTACGAAAAAAGAAAGTGCATTCTCTACGGAAAGGGAAAAAATGACTAATATGTCTCACACCATTTATCATAAAAAGATAAGGTAGATTCTTAAAAGAAAACTTAAGATCTCAACTCACGCATGTGTCACCACCATCCTGTTCATGTACCACTCGTAATGTGAGGAACAGTACCAGTAGGTCAGCCTGCGACAAGAGTGTAGAATTTCGGCTGAAACGAAGTAGAATCGACGGCATTGTTTTAGGTGCTCTTAAAACTATGGCGAGTTTTGTTAAAGGACAATGCACATCAACTGTCTCAAACCCACAGAGGTGATCACCTTGAATAGGTTGCAACAAGCTTGTTGTTCAGCAACAGGTACGAATGGCAGGCCATTTCACCTTTAGGGCTAAAACGCCGAAACGTCTCCAGCACTTCTTGCAGCAAGTTGCTGCACGTGGAGGCAATATCTGCATTCACAATAACACGTTCCAGTGCCTACAAAAACAAATATTCATTGAGGGTTAGGATGCAACTGAAAACAAGACCCTCCTTCCACGAAAAAGGAAAAGACTGACACTTTCTAAGGCAGGAAGCTTGTCGCATACCTCAAACAAAAACATTTGGTCGCTTTGCCTCAAGTCATTGTAGGCTTCTATGAGCCTTCCCAGCAAGACAGCCCTCTTATCTCCATTGGCACTGTTATACCTCAGCCTGAAATCAAAATTTTACTGGTAGCAAATCACAGCAGACATAACAAAATTTATTGGCTTTGCAGTAGAGCCGATTATCATGCTACTTACTCGTCGAGAGCAGGCCCGTAGAGCCTTTGAACCAAGCACAGAAATACTTTCAGCCGTTTGCGACACGTGGCTTCAGCGTCCTCTTTCTCCGAGTTTATGCCCAAAACGGTGCAGCCAAAGAACTGGAATGGCAAAATTCAGGTCAACTGCCACTAAAACTCGATAGTGATAATATTAATACGAGGAAGCTTTCAAGCAAATTACGCATACTGTCATGTATAAAATCATAAAGCTGGAAGAACACTGCAATGAGAAACTATGAAAGACAGGACAGCACAATTTAAATACATTTCAAGTTCAAGTCAGGGTAAAGCTAGCTGATGTTGATCTTATAACTACCAGAAAAAGCTTAGAGTGTCTACGTTCTGGTCTACGAGATCCACGAACATGATCCGATAGCTTTGAAAAGAAAGACCCATTGCTTGGGTGCTTGAGCGGCAGCTGCCCCCAAGGAAAATAATAATTTTGAGCTCGCAGCGTCACAGGGAGTATGGACAGTGCACAGACAACGGACGAGCTTCTTGTCTCTAGCAGTGCGAAGGTACAAGGTAGCCACCATGTGTTTCATTACTCATTACCCAACCGCGGGATGTCCAGGGCATACGGGCCTTATTTGGATGTCACATTAGCTAGAGTTTTCCTCGGCAGAATGACATTCCATCTCCAATCATTTCAATGACAGCTACTCATACGGTTTCATAGAAATCATGTTTAACAGCATTACCAACGTTAAAAAGTTTCCTGATGACGTTTCACTAAGACACTCGGCTTCTTCACAGCCCTGGGAAGCTGTCTCTTAGCATAACATCGGTTCTGAGCCTTCCTGTTGGCTCCCTTTTAAGTTACTACCAGCTTCAAGCACCTTCACGTTTCACTTTAGCATTACTGATGGCCATCTGATGAGCAACTGTCACTAAAGTCAATCAAATGCAGAGGGGGTGAGGAAGAACAATTCGGATACGGAGCATGTGGTCTTTGCAATACGAGCCCTCTAACAGGATAACCTTTGCAGGCTACTGACGCTTTCTGCATTGGTAGGGCCAATGCATGAAGGGAGGCTCACACTGAATGAGCGGTTACCGCTCATTCACACTGAAAGCGGATCCGCGTTCGCAAAGCGGTTGCGAACGCGGTTGTATGAAGATTCAGTACAATGTCACGCGCAGTTGATGTCATCGAGTGCGCGTGCAATTGTACTGGATCTTTATACAACCGCGTTTGCGACCGCTTTGCGAACGCGGATCCGCCTTCAGTGTGAATTAGCGGTTACCTGGAGAAAAAGTGTCACTCAAATATGAAGTCAGTGAGAACTTCATTGCTCCAAGCCCAAAACGTTTTTTCATGTACTTGATTAAATACTGTTTGATAAAGATATGGGTCAGAGAAAGCAAATGTAAGCTAGTGGAGCTGAGTAGTTCCTTGACCTCATCTTTCGGCGACTGTAAAGGAAACATGCGACTCGTTCCAACCTCGGTGAACACGCAAAGTGTCTGGTCCTTGCAGTAGATGCTGCTGTACGCAGTATGTATTCGCTCTTTCATCACACGCTGAGACGTGACCAGTGGCGAAAACAACTGTACAAGGACATCGTTGGTGACCACGTTCGAAGAGTCTTCAATCTAAAAGGAACAAGGGATGGTCACGTTTTACAACCATTTCCAAGGTTACAAGAAAAATATGACACCCTTTGGAGAAACCGTCAACCGGTCCGAAGCGAGAACCACCGAATAAACAGACGCGCATACGCTACAACGGACAGAAAACCGTTAAGCGTCAAGTCAATTGTGCACTTGTGAAAAGTCATGCTCGTGCTTTTGAGGCCTGGACAGTGTATATTCTTTTACTTATAGACACCAATCGAGACTCAAATTTACGGGTAACTTAAACATTCCATACTTCTCTTGAAGTTTCCTCCAGCAACCCGTTTTTAATGCATACTTCGACAATGTGCTTGACGAGGTCTCCGTCTAAATGCTTATATACAACATCATTTAAAGAGTCGAAAATAATGAATCCTTTCATAATACTGTACTGGGCGCAACCCTACTACCTTCCAAGCTAAAAAAAAACGCGTCGATTTCCGACGCTTCTGCCGCTTCTGCTCACACTATTTCTTTTTACTTTTTTGGCGCCGGCGCCGCTGGCGCCGCACACAATGCCTGGTCACCGACTCGTATGTTTAGCGTCCTATTCCGCCCATGCATTGAAAGTGGTCCCAAAATGGCAATAAATGACGCCACATAAGCCGAAATGTCTTGCTGTCGAATGTCGCGATCCTGGCGGTTGGTTATAAAGACGCTGGCAAACAGCACAAGCGAACGCGAGTGTCGCTGTCGTCGCGGCGTCCCAACTCGTGGCTACGTAAATTTCCCTGAACTGTCAAGCTGGAGAGCGAACTGCAGCAGAACAGGCGTCTGCCACACACACTATGCTATTGTGACACCGCCAGGATCGTGGTGGCAGACCTCTAGAGTAAAGGTGGTAAAGGTACAAAGGTACAGTGGCTTAAAGCGGGTAGTGTAACGAACGAAACCGGAGAAGCGGCACAGCGTTGAAAGACGGCCGCGGGTGGCGCTGGCGCTTGCAGCACCGTCGTTCCAGCTATGACTCCGGCTTGGCCGCTTGGTCAGCTTGGCTCCGGCCTTCGGAGCAGAGTAGCGTAGAGGAACTCTAGAGTAGCGCAATCTAGAACGCCGTCTCTCGGCGACTAGCGGCGAACGCCCGGAGGTTCCAACTGCGGTCAGAAATGCATGGAGAACGTGAGAAAATCGTTGTTTTCGCCTAACGCCTCGCTTGTAATGCCCGTCTAGGAACCTTGGCAGCTAGTGACGGAGGTTGTCTTGCCTCCGGCCACGACGAGAGAAGAGGGGCAGGAGGAACTCCCCTCTTCCCGAGAATGCCTTTTGTGTGTCACAGAAGTCGCTATTGTCCCCCTACAAGATTATAGAAGATTAACCCGTCACTCAAAATTTGTACAAAAGCAGCCGCTTCGGTGGCTGGAACGACTAGGCCATACTCTCGACGTCAGCCTCGCCGTAGCTTTGCTCGTCTTGAGGCGACCTACGTCACGCGCTGAATGTCACGTGGTCTCTGCTGGGCCTTCTCCGAGCGCTTGCCAGAGTGGGCCGTTTATAACGAAAAATACAGCCACCAGGATCAAAATACAAACGTGCGATTGTCATTTACGGATATTGTGGATCATATTCAACCTATTTTTGAATTGGACGCGAATATTTCAAATTTCGTTGAACAAATAATATCGTCTCGGTCTCTTTTTTTTTAATTTAGTACTCAAGCATGTTTTGACAGGCTGATTAGGAAATTTCTTAAATTATCAATACTGCTAAAGTACTCATCAGCAGCATTTCGCGATATTCGCCCTAGGCAATACATTTTTTTTATATGAACATTTGCTTACTCAGGATATGATGGAAGTGACAGGCCCTTCAAATTAAATCTGGCATTCGTCTTCCGGAAAATTGGCCAAATAAAATTAAAGGGCGCAGGGGGAGAAATACCTCAGAAAGTTTGGCTGAATTCTAGCGCTAGGCACCACTTCACGGACCTGTGTGACAAATATTTATTTCTTTAGCACAAATCCGCTTTATAAATTTCGGTGTAGCCAGCCGCAAAAAGTAAACCTCTATTCGCCATCGACAATCCTGGACTCAAATACTGTTATTAAGACGGCTCTTTTTTTTTTTTTTTTTTTTTTTTGGGGGGGGGGGGGGGGGGCCTCAATTATTGCGGATTTTAGATGCTGGCAAAAGAGAAAACAACGTAAGCAAAAACAAAGAAGGCGTCGTCATTATTGCGCATGCGCCGAACCCAAACCGTGTTTTGAATTTGTAAATAGAAACGACGTTATTTCTTTAGTGTTGACGATTGGGCTAGTTGGTCATTCATATTAGCGGAAAACAAACAGCGCAAGGACAAGGACAACTCGCTACTGTTAAGTGTATGTGACAGTTTCTTACGCGGGAGGTCCCAACCTTTCTGTTAAGTAAATTAAGCATAGTATACAATTTCTTAAACTTCATAAGTAAACCGACCAACCGAATGTCTACGTCGCAAAAAGGAGATTGAGAACCTCATACACATGTAAGTGTGATATTTTGAACAAAAAAATCGCTTGATGTTAACGTACCTTTACTTTTAGCCTCAGATAAAATAGAAGTTAAACGTTCGTTGTCTATCTCCTCCGCGAGTTTCCTCACATAATCAAAAGAAACTGTTTTCGATATATTATGAATACAAAGAACGATACTTTCACGGAATACAGATAGTCTCCTTGTGCTGACTATTCTTGACGCCTTGCAATCCTAAATGCGCGATATAAATATACGCGCTTCTTACTGAGAATGTTTCGCCACTATTAGTAAACAAACCTCAGGAGTCGTCGAGTAGACGTATCGGACTACAGTTTCCGAAGTAAGGCAAGCAAGCGCGGTGAAACGCGACGAAAAACACGAATACACCGCATCCGCCAAGGCGCGGAGGGGAGAGCGGAGCAGCAAGTTGAAGCAACCTAATGGCTGCCGCGTCACGTGATTCCAAGATGGCAGCGCCCATGCGGAGGAGGATGAAAAGGTCCGTGCGACGCGACTGGCGCGCCGCCGCGCGGCCGGTACCGAAGGTAGGCAGTGAGCACCCCAGAGAAAACGAAACTGAAACCACGCCGCGTACGTTGGTACACGTTGAAGTCGGAGTGGTGCTATTGCACTGGGTTCACAGCTTAATGACGCAGCCTGTGCTGCGTCATTAAGTGCTTGAATAGTTATGCGTCGTATCTCGTGGAGACAAACTTTCACAGTTTTTCACCTCGCCGATGTTTTGTGGGACAGCGACAACGATGGAGCCGTGCCATACGACGCGAGAAATTTGGTGTCCCGATCATGTCTGCCACTGTGTCGACACGGCTGACATATTCTACACTGCCGCTTTGCGCTCTGCGTTTGTTTTCGTACCAGTAACGCCTACATGTGTCAGCGCCGATGGGACGAACTGAAATGCCATCCCACACTCGTGGGTATGCAGTGCCAATTTCGTTGGAGGAATGCCCTCCAAAGAAGTTTCGTCCCCATCGTACGAGTCGATGATAATTCCGGAAAAATATGGCCCGTAATCTGTACTTCATGAAGAAAGATTCGAACGGTAAAAAAAGTGAAAAATATAAATCTAAAGAAAACAACCATGAAACTCGGAATCACTGGAGAATCGGCGTTTGAGTATGGAAGTTTATGTGGTGTGCTTTCTTTCTTGATCAGCCTCCTTTTGGATGTGGAAACACTGACACCCCGAGTTCTGTAGACAACAATTTTTTTCTCGGCTTTAGAGCCACCTATCGCAAAGGGGTTCGAACTGGAAGTACCGTCCACTGGTCCCTTCCTACCTGTAAAGTGTGCACCTCCCATGATGAGTGGTATTTTCTGACAGCCTTTGACGGTCAAAGCCAGTTCCCATTTAGTTACGCCGCCCAAACTAAATTTCCACCTGGTTTCGCTATGCCAACTATTTTTGTTATAATAAGTGTTGTGCCAAGTGACGGTCATGTCAAAGTACCTGTGGGCCGAAAATCAGCACCTCGCACAACAGGTTATTACACAACAGCTGACGGCAAAAGTCCTTGGCGGCCAAACCGTGTGTTGGCCGACAACTTTGTTTTCTCGGCTTTGGAACCACCTTTCGCAATTGGACGTACAGTCCACTAGTCCCTTCCTACCTCTAAAGTCTCCACTTCCCCCGACCAGTGGTATTCTCTTGACAGCCTTTTCATGGTCAAAACCGGTTCCCATTGAGTTACGCCGCCCAAACCAAATTTTCACCTGGTTTCCCTATGCCACCTTTTCTTTTTGTATAATAAGTGCTGTGTCATGTTACTGTCAAGTCCAAGCACCTGTGTGCCCAAATCTGCACTTTGCACAGCCCGCTATGACACAACATTTTGGGTCCAATATTGGATATACCGTACAGCTTTATTTCTTTATTCGTTAGAAACTACATTCACACCTGCCGTCTTAATGAAACTTGGCACACTTCTTGCAGAAACTTAGTGTACATCTCACTCGCCTCCAATATCATCGTTCCAGCAGTCCTACGTTTACAGCGACGAGCGAAATAAATTTCCCACTCAAAGCAATTTGGAGGCGGCCGTCTTGCTTTTCAGAAAATTGCTCCAACTCCTTTTTTTGGCCGCAACTAGAGAAATTACCCCTAATAACGACTCAAGCTCAATATATAAGAAGCGGAGCAACAGCTAAATGCCCTTCTTAAATCTCTCCCAGCACTCATGCAACGTCACCCTCCACGTATCGGCTCAAAAAGCAAAAGTTCCGTCCGTACGCGCTTCCGCCGCCACAGCTTCGCATGCGAAAAGGCGCCGCAGGCTGCTGAACGCGCCTCACGGTCGAACGCCAGCTCCTCCGCTAGCGGCGCTGCGCGCGTTTTTCAAAGCGCCCCCTATAGTTCCCGCACGGAACACCTTTTCCGCGTAGTCGTCGCCATCTTGCGTGTTGCAGCAACAGCCGCGCCGTCTGGCGTACGGTTGTTGTGCGCCCATTTTGGTATGCGGAGAGCAGCGTTGTTCCTAGCTCCCGCGTTGTCCCCATTGACCCCGTGCATCGTATCTTTATTGTTTTCCCTTTAGTGAGTTCTTCATTTGTTTGTTATTGAAAGTGTGAATTATTGTGTTCTGGCGCGCTTATTCGCCTTCATGGCGCCCGTTGTTGCGCCAACAGCGCCGAGAGGTTCGTCGCCAGCGTCGCCGGTAATCGAAATCGGAGGCATGTTCACTTTTCATGAGGACGTTTTCCAGTGTTTACTCTTCGCGTGTTGTTGTTTGTGAAGAATGACAGCCTTCTGCGAATGACTAACGGAGGGTTTCTATGCGCGAGCGAGGGCGACCCTGGGCATAGAAGTATCATCGTTTAATCGTAGAAATACTCACAATCGGAGTTGGCGACGCGGGCCGAAAGGTTTATTGTTATTGTGCACCGTCGAGGTACGATCGCTAGTTACCGGGACATTTCTACTTCGAATGACGCCCAGATGCGTCAGAACTATTCAGGAGATGGGGGTGAAAGGGGGGTGGGGAGAACGACGACGATTTTGCGCCCTCTTTACGTATTGTTTCCATTAATGTATTTTAACGGGCGTCACTACCTAGCAACACACAAAATTATAGTGCACATCCTCGTAGGAATGAACGGAATGAAAAACAAA